GGGCCCCAAGCTGGCAGCACCCGGCTGAGCCACCGGTTTCTTATCGGCACGGGGAGGGGGGACGCCAGCAGGGACCCCCCTGGTGCCGGCGGCGTGAATTGGGGTGATGCGGCACGGGGCCGGGCGCGGTGGTGCCGTGCCCCAGGGTGGCAGCGGGCGCAGAGAGGGTGGGGGCACGGCGGTGCCGTGGCGCTGTGAGCCCAGCATGGGTGCTACAAACATGACACGGGTGCTACAAACATATCGGCACGGGGAGGGGGGACGCCAGCAGGGACCCCCCTGGTGCCGGCGGCGTGAATTGGGGTGATGCGGCACGGGGCCGGGCGCGGTGGTGCCGTGCCCCAGGGTGGCAGCGGGCGCAGAGAGGGTGGGGGCACGGCGGTGCCGTGGCGCTGTGAGCCCAGCATGGGTGCTACAAACATGACACGGGTGCTACAAACATGGTACGGGTGCTACAAACATGGTACGGGTGCTGTGAGCCTGGCATGGGTGCCACAAACATGGCACGAGAGCTGTGAGCATGCTATGGGTGCTGTGAGCCTGGTATGGGTGCTGTGAGCCTGGCATGGGTGCCACAAACATGGCACGAGAGCTGTGAGCATGCTATGGGTGCTGTGAGCCTGGTATGGGTGCTGTGAGCATGGCATGGGTGCCACAAACATGGCATGGGTGCTGTGAGCATGCTATGGGAGCTGTGAGCCTGGCATGGGTGCTGTGAGCCTGGTATGGGTGCTGTGAGCCTGGCATGGGTGCTGCGAGCATGGCATGGGTGTTACAAACATGGCATGGGTGCTGTGAGCCTGGTATGGGGGTGCTGTGAGCATGGCATGGGTGCTGTGAGCATGGTATAGGTACTGTGAGACTGTTATGGGTGCTACAAACATGGCATGGGTGCTGTGAGCATGGCATGGGTGCTACGAGCATGGTATGGGTGCCACAAACACGGCACAGGTGCTGTGAGCATGGCATGGATGGCATAAGCCTGGTATGGGTGGTGGGGGTCTAGCACGGGTGCTGTGAGCCTGGCGCGGGTGGGTGCGAGCCTTGTGCGGGCGCTACAGAGCACGGCAGGGGTGCTGCAAAGCGCGGTATGGATGCTACGGACCTGTGATGGGTGCTGCCACCCCGGCACGGGTGCCGTCAGCCTGGCATGGGTGGTACAAGCCTGGCATGGGTGCCGCGAGCCTGGCACGGGTGCCGTGAGCCTGGCAGAGGGCCTTGGAGCCTGGCACGGGTGCTGCGAGCCTGGCACGGCCGCCTGGCCCCCCCGGGGCAGCTCCTCCCTCGCCGGCGGTGCCAGCCGCCTCCGAAAGCCCCCGTGTCCTCTGGCCGGACCCACCCCCGGCGGGGTGACTCAGCCAGCGAAGCCTTTCCTTATATAACGCGGCGTCGCCGCCGTGCCGGGCGAGCGCCCGCCGAGCCGCCCCTGCCTCAGTTTCCCCTTGCCGGGGCGTCGCTGCCGCCGCCACTGCCGCCGCAGCCATGTGGATGGTGTCACCGCCGGTCGGTAAGTGCCAGCTCGACGCCCCGATGCCGCTCGGCCCCTTCGCAAGGCGTCTTTCCCCCCCGCCGCCAAAAATCACCGTTGACGGTGGGTTTGGCGGGATAAGGGTCAGCGGGTGAGCGCTGCTCGCTCAGCCCTGCAAATCAGGGCAGAAAAGCGTAAAAACAAGCAAGCAGCCCCGAAAAAATTGGTTAATTCTGCGCCTCCTCCGGCTGAACCCCCTTTTCCCCTCAGCTCTGGGGGGGGGAGACCCCCCCGGGGGACACGAGCCCCCTGTAACACGCGGCGTCACCCGGGAAGAGCCAAATCCGCCTTTTTTTCCCCCAGAAAGAGTACTAAAAAGCACTGGCAGCAGCAGCACGGGGCTGGGGAAGCCCCTCCCGCCCCAGCCCTTTGCTTTTGGGGGTAGAAACGCCAAGAATGGGCAAGTTTGGGTGCCATGGTGATGCCTGGGTATTGTGATGCTCGCCGGCGCCCAGGTGCGGTGTAGCGGCAGCACCAGTAACTCTCCCCAGGGGCTTGATCCTGCCCGGCACTGGGGAGCGCAGGGATGGTGACGGTGAGCCCCAAAATCGCCGATTTTTACCCCTTTTCGCCTTTGGAGACGGCAAAACCCACCGGATTAGCCCCGACCAAGGCAAAGAAGGGGGGGACGGTGCCGGGCATGTGCTCAGTCCCCCCAAAAACCACCGGATCCGATAAAATCCAAGGCGGCAGAGCGACCGTCCCGGCAGATCGGGGCGGATTTTCCATCCCCAGCCGCCCAGCTCAGCCCTTACCGGCAGCTCGGGGCGCGGTATCCAAAGGTCACCAGCAGCGGTGGCCGCATCCGTCCCGCCGCCGGCACACGGAGCCACCGACCCCGGTGGGCTTCCCAAAACCAGGACTATATTTGAATTCCTCGCACCTGAGGGTGGTTTTTTTTTTTTTTTTTGGCGAAAATTTTTTTTTGTGGACACCTCGGGAGCCGTTTTCGGCGGCGTTTTGGCGCCGGGACGGTGATGAGTTGGCCCGGGCTCAGCCGGGAGCGGGTCACGGGGGGCGGCGAGGGGAGGGGGTGGCTCTTGTTTTGCTCTGACGTGCTGTTTTCTTTCAGATGAAGGATCTCACCAGCTTGCCTGGCTTTGGGACCACGGCAAAGGCAGGGTGCAAAGCCCACTAGTAGGACACGATCCTTAAATTCTTTCTCTAAAGCTTAGCTCTATAGGTACATAAGATCGATAGAGCTTAAAACCGGGGTTGGCTTTTAGTCTAAGCTTGGGTTTGGATTTCTTTTTTTATTTTGATTTTTTTGCGGTTCTTTTATTGGTTTCTTCGGTTTTATTTTCGGGGAGATAAAAGGCAGGGCTTGCAAAAAGGAAACAAAACATCCCGCCGTTTGCTAAAAGGCTTTTTGGGGGCTTCGGTTTGAGGAGGGGACCAGCCAGCAAGGCTCCCGCCGTCGGCAGAACCCCCCAAAATTTCCTCCAGCCCCTTCCCAGCGCTGGAAGGGGTTGAGGGGGCTGCGGGGCTTCGCTCCCTCCTCCCCAGCACCGAGCTGCTACCTCGGGGCGGGTTTCCGTGACTCCCCGGTTGGAAAGCGGCCGTCGGTTCTGCCCTTCACCGGCCGCCTCGGCGGGTTGCAGGTATTTTCCAGTCCACGAAGAAACTGTTCCTGAGCGAGCGAGCGGGTCGGGGTCGGACGCTGGAATTCATCCGGAAAAACGCCGCTAACGGGCTCTCCGTGGCCAATCTGGTGGCGGGGCTCTCCTCCGTCCTCTGCAGCCTCAATAGGTGGGGGAAAAGGGGAACTGGGGTGAAACGGGGGGGGGGTGCAAAGG